ATGTTATGTATGATCACAGCTGTGTTTACATTATGTTATGATCACAGCTGTGTTTATATTATGTTATGATTACAGCTGTGTTTACATTATGTTATATATGATTACAGCTGTGCCTACATTATGTTAAGATCACAGCTGTGTTTACATCATGTTATACATGATTACAGCTGTGTTTACATTATGTTATGATCACAGCTGTGTTTACATCATGTTATATATGATCACAGCTGTGTTTACATTATGTTATATATGATCACAGCTGTGTTTACATTATGTTAAGATCACAGCTGTGTTTACATCATGTTATATATGATCACAGCTGTGTTTACATTATGTTATATATGATTACAGCTGTGTTTACATTATGTTAAGATCACAGCTGTGTTTACATCATGTTATATATGATCACAGCTGTGTTTACATTATGTTACATATGATCACAGCTGTGTTTACATTATGTTATATATGATCACAGCTGTGTTTACATTATGTTATGATCACAGCTGTGTTTACATTATGTTATATATCATCACAGCTGTGTTTACATTATGTTATGATCACAGCTGTGTTTATATCAGGTTATGTATGATCACAGCTGTGTTTACATAACATTATGATCACAGCTGTTTACATTATGTTATATATGATCACAGCAGTGTTTATATTATGTTACATATGATCACAGCTGTTTTTACATTATGTTATGATCACAGCTGTGTTTACATTATGTTATATATGATCACAGCTGTTCACATTATGTTATGATCACAGCTGTGTTTACATTATGTTATGATCACAGCTGTGTTTATATCAGGTTATGTATGATCACAGCTGTGTTTACATAATGTTATGATCACAGCTGTTTACATTATGTTATATATGATCATAGCTGTGTTTACATTATGTTATATATGATCACAGCTGTGTTTACATTATGTTATATATGATCACAGCAGTTTACATTATGTTATGATCACAGCTGTGTTTACAATATGTTATGATCACAGCTGTTTTTACATTATGTTATATATGATCACAGCTGTTCACATTATGTTATGATCACAGCTGTTTACATTATGTTATGATCACAGCTGTGTTTACATTATGTTATATATGATCACAGCTGTTCACATTATGTTATGATCACAGCTGTGTTAAAATTATGTTATATATGACCACAGCTGTGTTTACATTATGTTATGATCACAGCTGTGTTTACATTATGTTATGATCACAGCTGTGTTTACATTATGTTATATATGATCACAGCTGTGTTTACATTATGTTATATATGATCACAGCTGTTCACATTATGTTATGATCACAGCTGTGTTTACATTATGTTATATATGATCACAGCTGTGTTTACATTATGTTATGAGCACAGCTGTGTCTACATCATGTTATATATGACCACAGCTGTGTTTACATCATGTTATATATGATCACAGCTGTGTCTACATCATGTTATATATGATCACAGCTGTGTTTACATTATGTTATATATGATCACAGCTGTGTTTACATTATGTTATGATCACAGCTGTGTTTACATCATGTTATATATGATCACAGCTGTGTTTACATTATGTTATATATGATCATAGCTGTGTTTTCATTATGTTATGATCACAGCTGTGTTTACATCATGTTATATATGATCATAGCTGTGTTTTCATTATGTTATGATCACAGCTGTGTTTACATTATGTTATATATGATCACAGCTGTGTTTACATTATGTTATGATCACAGCTGTGTTTACATTATGTTATATATGATCACAGCTGTGTTAAAATTATGTTATATATGATCACAGCTGTGTTTACATCATGTTATGATTACAGCTGTGTTTACATTATGTTATATATGATCACAGCTGTGTTTACATTATGTTATATATGATCACAGCTGTGTTTACATTATGTTATATATGACCACAGCTGTTTTTACATTATGTTATATATGATCACAGCTGTGTTTACATTATATTATATATGATCACAGCTGTGTTTACATTATGTTATATATGACCACAGCTGTTTTTACATTATGTTATATATGATCACAGCTGTGTTTACATTATATTATATATGATCACAGCTGTGTTTACATAACATTATGATCACAGCTGTTTACATTATGTTATATATGATTACATCTGTTTACATTATGTTATATATGATTACATCTGTTTACATTATGTTATATATGATTACAGCTGTGTTTACATTATGTTATTTATAATTACTGCTGTGCTTACATTATGTTATATATGATCACAGCTGTGTTTACATTATGTTATTTATAATTACTGCTGTGCTTACATTATGTTATATATGATTACATCTGTTTACATTATGTTATATATGATCACAGCTGTGTTTACATTATGTTATTTATAATTACTGCTGTGCTTACATTATGTTATATATGATCACAGCTGTGTTTACATTATGTTATTTATAATTACTGCTGTGTTTACATTATGTTATATATG